AGTTCAAAGTGCATTTCTAAGACTACAACAACAAATTCAAGGCAAAAAAGGCACCAGATCCAGCAAGATCCAACCATATTCAAAGCTAACAAAGCACAACAAAACGGATCGATTCTATTTTCTTCACTCAAAAAATGATTAAAAAGCTCAGGCAAGAAACAACTCAAACCCACAGCTAAAATTCACACCAGATTTTCTCAACAAGCTCTCACCTTGAAGCTCGAAAATCACTCGATTAAACAGGAACAGCCCAACCCCACACCAGAAACCGCACTGTATAAATGTATTATATTAAAGCGTAGATAGATGAAAGCCCACAAATGAGAGTAACTGCAAATAAATAGAGAGAGTGGGTGATGAGAGGAGAGTGATGGTTATGGTGGTGGTGGTGGCCTAAAAGGGACTATGGGGTCCGAGTTTGAAAATGCCACGAGAAAGAGACAAAACTACGATAGTGCCATCGGAGCTTTGGTTCCCTTTGGACTGACCACGGACAGGGGCCTATGTGGAACCGTTGTTCTCGGACCGGAGTCCCTCCGGCTTGATGACTTGGCGTTGACTGGGCCCTGAAAATGCTCCTGTGGGGTTCTGGAAAAATTCTGATCTTTATAGTAAAATTAAGCCCATTGTATTTTAATTTTTTTTTCCAAAAAAAAAGACATTAAATCATTTTGTTATGAATAATAAAAAAATCATGCTATAATTAGAAAAACAATAATATTAATTTAAAAAATCATTTATGAGATAGCAAATTATTTATTTTTATTCAAATGTACTTGATGTCATATAATACCAAATTAAATATTTCTAATTATCAAATTTTGTGCATTATTTCAAATAGTATAAAATAAAATGTGTTAGAATTATGTAGTCTGAACAAATTTTAGGGATCATTCATGAAATCGCAATCATCTTTTCTTAAAAATTTTGATGTCATCCATAGGCCAGATGCAAATTTAGATATTCAGAAATATATTTTGCATGATTTCAAATAGTAATTAATGGAAATGTTATGATCACGTTACGGAATCATCTTGTTGGGTGTTTTAACCGTTCGATAATCTATCTTATACTAATTACATGTGTATTCAACGATTCAAACTCCCGACGAGATGATCCCTAATGAGACTGTAGCATTTCTCGTAATTTATATGTGTTGGAGTTAATGTAATATAGCAAAATTAGGAGTCATTTATAATATCACAAGTAATTTTTCCTATAAAAATTAATGTGATCTCATACGGGACGGGGAATTAGATATCCCGAAATGTTGTATTTTGCATTATTTCAATAGTAAAATTAGACGGGTTGAATCAAAGTAATAAAACAAATTTAGGAACAATTTATGAAATAGCAAATGCAAAGTTAGATATTCTAAAATATTCTTTTTTTTTTTTTGCACGGCTTCAAATAGTAAAATTAAACTTGCTGCATAATGTAATTGAACAGGCTTATGAATTATTTATGAAATTTCAATTAATTTTTTCCTAAAAAAATTGATGTCATCTCATAGACTTAATATTTTGAATATTATAGTTTTATGTGGTTTCAAATAGTAAAATTTGGCTTGTTTAATTAATATAATAGGACAAATTTGGGAATCATTTATGTATTGTATAGTCTTGCTCAAAACTTATGGACTACAAAAAAGGCTGGCCTATATAATCCTCTCTAGTCTGATACATGCAAAACTTTATAATTAAAAATAAAATAATTTGTTGCTCTGGTTAGTGGTTAATGTCAATAAATTTATAATTGATATAACAAAAAACTAAACATAAAAAGGTACTCCTTTGTTTTTAACTATAAGGCTATTTTTGGTAGACAAAAAAGCTACTTTATAGTTTATTTGGTTAATTTATAAGCTCCCAATATTCAAATAAGTTTTGTTTGTTACGACAAATTTATTTAAAAAATTTGAACTTATTAGATAAGCTTCTTTGAGTAGCTTTTCAAATACGCTCGTTAAAATTTTTATTTCAACTAGCTTATCAACTAATTTTATCACACTTTTATCATATAAGCTAGTTTTTCCGTTATAAGTCATAAGCTATAAGCAAAGCTCGAAAGTTATTGATAAGCTATCAGCTAGTTTTACCAAACATAGTCTAAGTCTCCAAAATAATTTGATTCATAAATAATATCAAACTTAAATTATCTGCAGTGTTCAGCTTAATGTTCAATTTTCAACTTCAATTTCTTGTTAGCTGTTTGTGGTGTTTGGCTTCTAGATAGAGATGTTAAACGGTCCTTGGCCCGACGGGCCGGCCCGTTTAGCCCGAGAAAAAACAGGGTTAGTGCCTTTTTTTAGTAGCCTATTTAAATCGGAGTTTTTTAGGCCCGGACCGTTTAGATCGAAGCCCGATAGGGCTAGCCAGAAGCCCGCTAGGGCTAGCCCGTTTAACTTGTATATTACAACTTTACTATTCTACTTCATATGTAACTATGAGTTGTAGCCGATTATTAGGATTTTGAAAGATAATTATTAACAATTTCGTTATTCTACTTCACACCAAATTATTTAAGCCAATTAGAACGGCTAATAGAAAACACATGAGACAAGAACCTAACACATGGAACATAGTGATAAAATATAAATTCAGCAGTAAGATACAATATCGTGAAAATTTTCAAAGCGTACAAAAATAAGTAGTAAAATAGTAATTATAAGTAATAGTTCGAACATTTTTTCTTTTTATTTGAGAAAAACATGTCACTTAAGAGTTTGCAACTAGTGTTCACACATGAAGTCCGCTTGTAATTTTTATTTATATGTTTTTTTATATATTATTATTATTATAGCTCGTTTAGCTCGAAGCCCGCTAGGATTAGGGTTAGGTCCTTTTAGTGTAGCCCGTTTAAATCCGGTCTTTTTAGGCCCGGACCATTTAGCCCGAAGCCCACTAGGGCCAATCCGAAACCGCAAGGGTAGCCCGTTTAACATCTCTACTTCTAGAGATATAGGTGTTTGAGTGTTAAGCTTGCCTATTATCTTGTTTTAGTATTTATTGTTTTAGGGCACTACCCTGCAGTGTTCCTCCATTTTAGCGTTGTATTCGGATTAGTTGATTCGACGAATTGTATCAAAACTTTTTTTCGTTGAATGAGAATGTCTATAGTTCCGAAAAAAAATAAAAAAATAATATCAAACAAACGAACAAATAAAAGCAAAAATCTATAAAAACTACAAAATTGATGCTTTCCACCAAATGAGCTTGGTTACCAAATTAATTATTAAAAACAAAATAATTACAATTATTGACTAATATTTTTATTTTATTTTCTTAAATAACTATATAAAAAAAGGACAATGTAACAGCCAATGGTTGGAAAGTCATTTTCCTTTGGTCGCTATTTGTACGAAGTGGCTCGAATAGTTAGTAAATTCGATCGAGGTACGGAATGGTGCTTTACAGTGCATTTTTTTTGGCCTTATGCAATACAAACTAGCAACAATAATGCAATAATTTCCATCAACTCACTAATAAATAATACAAGGTCAATTTACTTTAGGGGGGCCCGATTTGATATGAGTAAAATAAGCTTTGTTTGGATTGATCATAAACTGAGTTACTTTGAAATAAAGTTGATTGAGTATCGGATTGAGTGTGTTTTTGAGATTGTATTTAAAATATAATAATGAAAGTTGATATGATGTAAAAGTATGAAAAAAAGTTACTATAAATGATAAGTAACTAAAAATGTGCGAACGGACGAGTAATAAATTAAATTGATGTATGAAGATGATTAATTTGTATTATCTAATTATATCGATAATATTGAATAGAGTTGATTGTATTTTGGTTGTCATGGTTCTTGGTTATTTCAAGCACTACTACCCATTTTACCCAATAACAGAGAAGGGAAAGGCTTTTTTTTTTTTTTTT